AAAATTGTAAAGTGATGTTATTGAAACATAGGAAATAGTCTATTTTGTAACGTACAAAATTCGGGAAGGACAACACAAGGGGGCAACTTGATAATGTCTGATGACGTGATGGTACATGTCCCTACTCCTATCGACCTTGATTTTTCACGTGTCCATTGACGAGAACATGATGACGTCCATAGGCAGAGCATTCTATGCCGTAGTCACTTTGTAGCTACAAGAGAATTTCTTGCGTCCACTTTTGCCCTAGTCACACGTACTTTAAGAGGATGTCCCTCAAGCTAGCAGTGATGGCCAGCTAAGAAAAGCCGCCGGATGAGAGGCAAAATCCTGACCCCGTAGCATTTAAACGCCTGGATTAAGCCGTTGCGTAGCTGTCTGAATTCCAGGTGAAAGAGGTCAAGATTGGACGGTCAAATTTTGTAAGTTAGGTTGCTCTGACATCTGGCAAACTTGGTTGTCCGTCTTTGGGCTTTTTCGAGGGTGGTGCGGCCATTAACGGACTACTTTCTCCAGGCATGAATAGCAATTCCAAATGTGATCGCACGGACATCCCGAATACCTTACCAAAGCACACTTCATCAAACTTTGGAAATGCCCGTTGGATGACGTATAAGCCTGACATTACGGGTTTCGCTACTTTCCAGAGGTGAAATGATGGATTTAATGAGGTTTTGATTCACACAACTTGATCCTTCTAAACCTCTGCCTTCGCTGGTGGTGTGTAGAAAGATAGATAGATAATTTTTTATTAAAGACCCGTCGGGGTCCCATCAAAGCAAGTTAAAATAAATTTGCATGCGAGTTTTAGACGAGGTAGGCCGAATCTTTACAAAATGCAATTCATAGTTTCTGAATTAGAAGTCCATTGAGAAACATGATGATTGAGGGGTGAAAAAAACTCCTTACAAAAAGTTAAAAATGATTGGATTGATTTTGCAGGAGAAAAAAAACCCCTCCATAAAAATAATAACAGAAAAAAGCGAGCAGGACTGGCCTGTAGGTGCCGGTATATAACGAAATGTTGTCGGTCATCGTCAGGGTAGCAATAAATGTCAGCCTTGATGGGTACGAATGTGGGTCAGACAGGACTGGCTTGCAAATGGCATTGTATACGGGATTCACAATTGAGATCGTCTGGGCCGGATTGGTACGCCGCGTCAAAGAGGCCAGACGAGAGGAACCCAGATGCGATCGGCCACATCAAGCTTCCAGATCAGCCGAGCAGTGAGGAATGGAGGTACGACCGAACTACTAGTAGACAGTGAATACTGAGGGTTCAGCCGTGAGCGTCGACAGACCGCATGAGGTCGGAATGCGGGAGATGACATCAAAAACCGCGAAAATTGTCGCTATGGGGGAGGAGTGATAGCAGGGAATTTAGAAACCAATTCAAAACAGGGGTTTCTAGTGATATAATTAAGAGTTACCACTAGATCTACCACTAAATCCCAGGAGGACCCTTCTCGAAGTCAAGAATCTGAGTGTTCGGGAATGAGACCGTTAACAGTGCCTTTATGCTTTCCGGTGTAAGATGGTTGCGCAATTTCGACTTGAATACCAATAACTTAGGCGATAATCTAATTTCAGGCGGAAGATTATTCCAAAGGAAGGCATATTTGGAAGCAAAGAAGAGGGAGCGCTTAGATGTAGTACAAAGAGGCGGCGGAATCACCAGGCAGGAGTTGCGCGTGGCATAAGACCGATCTCTCGGAGTGAGAGTGTCAATGTGCGGAAGACTGGAGCTAGAGTTGATGCGAAAAAGGAAGCAAAGGCCAGCTTCGAGTCTTCTAACCCACAAAAACTTAATGTTCGCCAGCTGACATCTCTGAGTATAAGAAATACTGGACGAAGCTTGAGAGAACAGTTTCCGGGTGAAAACCCTCTGAACATTTTCGATTTTATTACGGTCGCAGGCGTTCATTAAACCGAAGAAAGGACAGCAGCATTCGAGGACTGGAAGAACAAACATTTGATAAAGTCTTAGCTTCATTTCCGGAAGGAAAAAATTATGCGATATGAATCCACATATCTGCGCGGCTTTGGCAGAGATTCTATCTGCATGAGGTGATAAAGCAAGCTTATTTGTATAACTTAGACCTAGGTCCTTTATGGTGAAGCATTCTGAGAGTGGGTTATTCTGAAAAATTATGGGACCAGGAAGTTTGGTAAGACCAAAAGAAATGAAACTACACTTGGATGATGAAAACTACATCTGCCATGTCGAACCCCATCTGCTTAAGCGTAGTAAATCGGCAGTAATTTTTTCAACACAAACATTTGCGGAGTCCTTAGAGTATGAGTAAACACGTTTGAGGTCATCGGCATAAGTAAAAGTTTGCGAATTTCCGAGTTCAGTCGAAATATCATTGATGTACAGAAGGAAGAGTAGCGGACCCAGAACCGTGCCTTGAAGTACGCCACTCGTGATCGAGTGGGGTGTCGAGTAGCTATTACCGACCATGACTTTCTGATATCGGTTGGACAGATAGGACCTGATGAAGTCGAGTAGAGGCGGCCTGATGCCGAGAGCTTCCAATTTTACTGAAAGACGTCTATTGGGCTCCTTGTCAAAGGCTTTGCTAAGATCAAAGTAAATAACTACCACTGACTGACACTCATTAGCAAGAGAAGTGATTAGATTAAGAAAAGCCAAGTGACATGTTTCGCAGGATCGTTCAGGTAAAAATCCATGCTGACTAGAGCTCAGAAGCCGATTAGCTAGACAGAAGTCAAGAATTTCATTGAAAATAATCCTTTCAAGAAGTTTTGCTAGAGACGGCGTTTTGTGCACGCCCCGATAGTTATTAACATCGGACCGAGATCCTGACTTGAAAATGGGAATGATAATTGACGTTTTCCATGTTTCAGGAAAGAATCCTTTTGAAATATAAACCGAAAATAAATGACTGAGCAATATGGGAAGGTCGGACGCTTGTTTAATAATCGAATTCGGAATCTCGTCCGTTCCTGAGCAGTATGAGTATTTAAAACGGCTTGTGTGTTTCTGAATGAGATCTGAGGAGACATCAATTGTACTCAGCGTCCTATCTGAAAGTGATCGAAAGAAAGGGACCGGATCGGACTCGGTAGCAAGGTGTTTTGCGAAGAAAGCACTAAACAATTCCGCCTTGTCAGTGTCATCGGTGAGGAAGACTTTGTTATCATTTAGCATGGGTGGAAGTTCATGACCCCGCTTAGAGGAGGACCGATGACGGAAGATGTTAGCGACGGATTTGCCAGGGTTCGAACCACTGAGAGCAATTGATTCTCTTTGCCTGTCGCGCGCTTGGCGCATCCTTGAGGCCATCTCAAATACCTCCGTGATTCTAAGATGAACAGATAAGGAACTAGTGGATTGGTCACGCAGTTGTCGCCTCAACTTTTTAGTCTGTTCTGAAGAAAATGAGGAACAAGGGAATCTGAAGAATTAGGCTTGAGATATCTACGCGGCACAAACTCTAGAATGTTCATGGAAACATTGGACATGACATCACGAAGAATGGTTACATCGCTACAAGTGAGGAAGCCACACCAATCCGAGGATCTCATATAGTTATTTATTAAGTCGCTATCTACACAGTCGTAGTTCATGAAAGTCTGAACGGCGCTTGTCTTTTTTGAAAAAGCAAGCGGTAGGCAACAATGAATTAATACGTGGTCACTGTCAAAGAGGTTCTTTTTAAAACAACAGAAAGAGGAGCAATGTCATTGGTAAAGATTAGATCTAAAATGTGACTATCTCTTGTTGGAGAGCGCACCAGTTGGGACCAATTAGAAAAATTGACAATATCTTGAAAGGACTGGAATCTGGGTGCGCAGCTATTGGAAACCCAGTCAGTTTCAGGAAGGTTAAAATCCCCAGTGATTATTTTAACATCGAAAGCAGCTTCCGAAATTAATTTAAAGATTTCACAGAGTTGTGAATCATCACTGGCTAAAGAATTTGGGGGATTGTAGATACAGCCAATAATTGCCTCTCTTTGCGGCGAGAGAATAACAGATGCAAAGCAGAAGTTTCCCGTGAATGAGGAAACATCCAAGTGATAGGGAGAGTGCTTTAGGTAGGATTTAAGATAAAGAAGACAACCACCCCCACGACTAGTCGTGCGGTCTTGGCGGTAAAAATCGAAGTCATCTATGAGAAGGGCAGAGTCAGGAATTAGAGAATGTGTCCAAGATTCTGTTACACATATAATATCAGGCGTCATTTCCAGAGCAATGGCTCTGATTTGGGCCATCTTGTTCATAACAGACCTGGCATTCAATAATATAATATCTAATGTGTTTCGAACGGCAATGCTATTTTCGACGGTATTTAAAAAAAATTTGGAGGCGGATATGTAAGCTGCGAATTAATGACACTTGGAGAATAAGTACGAGTTAATTTAGAGTTATTGACGTACGGGGAGTCAGCAATAGAAGGCTGAGTATGAGACCTAAAGGAGGTGGGGATATAGTTTTCAAACATTGGAATGTTAGGGGAGTTAGAACATGGATAGACTTGTTGGTAGTTAAATAGTGGAGGAAGGGGAGGAGGAGGAAGGCTAGAAGAAAATTAGGGCTAATGGGTGAGGGTAGGCCACTAAAAGAATGAAATTGTGGGAAACCAGGTCTAGATTGGAAGTCAAAGGAGATAGGTTGACGTACCTGAGAGCAATTGGCCTTAAGTGGTGGGAAGCCTGAACTAGGTTGGGGCATAAATGATTTAGGGCAATTCATGTATGAATTATTTGCTGGATATATAGTAGGGTTTTGATAAGTAACCGGTACGCAGGACAGAGAATTATTCGGGGATATAATTGGAGCTGCGAGGTTTGTAGACGTGCTGGGCTGAACAGACTTGTTAGATCTAAGAGAAGGCGTCGTACCCCTAAACGGAACTGTACTACCTATCTTTTGGGTCGGAGTCTGATTCAATTTTCGAGTCTCACCGTTCTGACACCAAGCCACGGGTGACTTAGCTGTAGACCTTACAGCACCCAGTTGGACAATAGAAGTTATCGGTCTAGCTGATGTAGACGGATTTTCATGTGTCTCAGCGGGACTATCCGGAGGATACGAAACGACAAATGGGGCTGCTGCTGCTGCTGCTGCTGCTGCTGCTGCTGCTGCTGCTGCTGCTGCAGGTTTAGGGGCAGGCAAGTGCGTCAAGTGGCTTGAATGAGATGGAGATGTAGGAGAAATAGGAAGGAGGGAGTCAGATGTCGCAGGAGTAGGAGAAGCTGAATCCTTATGGCCACTTGTATTATGACCGAGTTGGGGAGCATTAGACTGAGAAGCAGTGGGTTTACGTGAGAATAGAGACCCGATTCTACACTCCATAGGAGTAAGATCATGACAAAGGAAAAATTTTGCCTTCTCTAGGCACGCAGTGACACGCTCTCGATGGGTAAAGATTGTGTCAACTTCGATTGATGCAAACAATTTGACTAAGATGGGTGGATTTGTACTACGGGAGGACAAGCGTTTGGCATCAGCTATTTTATAGTTGAAACCACATGAATACAGGAAATTGGTCGCAACATCAATTGGCCGAGCAGATCGAGGAATATTTTTTAGCAGGAAGTTGTAAGAACGCTTCTGTCTATCACTAGATTCACTGGCGATCAGGTGAACAAGTGAGTCGAGACGCCTACATTCTTTAGAGGGAATATCGGAGATGTTCCCGTCGAATAAATGTCCAAGAATTGTCAGCAAAGAGCCAAACTTTAGCATAAAGTCATTGCAGTGGTCAAGTGCAGACAGATTAAGCTGCCGACCAATTACAACGGGTGACGACTGACTAGTAATATCATCTGACTTAGATTTAGGTAAAGCTTCTGACTTACGTTTAGTTAGGCCATGTTAACTTACAAGAGCCGAGAGCTTACGTCGACCAGTGACTTTTGGTCTCATCTTGTCTCGAGGCAATTTGTGATTAAGAAAACTTCTGGCAGACAAGTTGACTGAATTTCAGCTAGGGGCTAACAATGTAAAAATAAATTACAACAGTTAGAGAGAAATCGGATGCACAAAATGAGAATTGCAGAGTGCGATTAGTGAACAAGGGGCATAGACTAGCAGAACTCGAAAGGAGATGGCAGCCGGCAGTTCTTAGAGAAGAGGCCTGTATTTAAGGAAATTCAACCAAAAAAACAGGTACTAAAATCGTTAGGTCTCACAGAAAAATCACTGAAAATAATATCATCCACTTATCTTCAAATTCAAAACCAGCGGCTTGACCTTGACCTTGACCTTTCTTCTGACCTTGACCTTAGTTAAGATATTACGTTTTCCAGTGCCCAGAGTGGTTTTTTCGACTCTCAGAATGTCGCATTTGGTAGCATCGAAGCAGGGGAACCAGTGATTAAGCCATTGCTCAAGTCGGTTCAAGTGTGCCTGTAAATTTGCTTCATCGTTTTCGCTGCGAATAACACCCAAGGCTTTATGTAGTCAGCAAACACAATGATGTAGCAGTCGAACCCACGGATGCAGCCAACAAATTATAGGGGCATGACCGAAACTCTGACGAACCCCGTTCTCAACCGTTCCCGCCGATCGACAAACCAAGATGTTTTCCATGCACTCCTAAAGTTGTATCAGTTTGTGCTTCATAATGCGCTTCATAACGCTCCAATATAGGGAAAGTTCAAAAGCCATACTTATATATCAGTGAAATCCACGCAGTCTTTCACTCAGGTGACAAGTTGCCTGAATCTAGGGAAGCGTGAAATGAGAAGACATAGGGGTTCTGCCGATTTCTTTGACACCTCTAATGGTATTTTATCAGGACCTGGCAATGTCGCTTCAGCGGTTCTTGTTGAACTGTAGATTTGTGAGAGCCATGGTGGGCATTTTCGGGACTTCCTCCACATTATGTTTGGCAACGGGTAGATCGGTTTCTCTCGAAAAAGCTGGCTTAGTGGCCCTAAATAGATATTCAGCTTAATTGTTGTCCAACGGCGTCATTCGTTTGTAACATATGGATGAAATTCCTATTGGGAGCACACAGTCCCATTTAGTTGTAGAAAAGCTCTGGGTTTCCTCCTACACAGTTTAGTAGGTTACTCTCGAAGTCTTGATGGGTTTTATAAACAGGCATCCTTTTTCTATTTTTCTGTGTCTTGTAGTTGTTCATTGATTTGGCTGTCTCCTTCCTGAGATACGTTGTCCACGGCTGTTGCCTGCAGCCTACTTCTCTCCTTGGTGCACCCTTTAGCCATCGGAGCCTGCTGTCGATCTTCTTTTACAATATAGGGAAGTGTCTAATGATATTTTCATGCATTAAGGCCTTAACTTCTAACCTGTCCTGGAGAACACACCCTGTGACTGTTGCTTTCCAATCTATACGACGCATGTCGATTTACATTCGGTTAAAATCTCCGCCCTATATGTCGCGTCTGATGGTAATGCTTTGGTCAGATACAGAGAAGAAGGAATACTCCCACTGTAGTACTACATTATCACTTTATCCGGGAGGAAGTAGGCAGTTTACGACATCCACGCTGTCAGGCATTTTCGTCAGAACAACGTCCAGGCAGTTGGTTAGCTAGCCTCATATATTCTGGTTAGAGATGAGCCGCGTTTTGTAAGATATGAGTCTACACTGTTTATAGGAGGCGGCGGTCGAAGATTAATTCTGAAACCGGGACAGAATTCGGATTCCAGTAAATATTCATAGCGTTAAAGTTGTCCATACTCATAACATCGGTTCGTGTCGAAAGCGCATCGGCCCTATAGGACTACTGCCTGACTGAGGGTCTTTCCTAGGTGGACGGTAGACCATCAAGATATCAAGAGTTTGCGACACCGGCTTTCTGGTAACTCTAATTTTCTCAGTTGTGCATGTGATCTTCCCCTTTGCTCGACATCAGCAGACTATATTTGACATATATGAGTACACTCCCACCTTGAATTTTCGCTCTATCCCTTCTGGACAAGTGATAGCCGGAGAGAGCCACTTCGCCATAACTTACGTTCGCGGAGAACCACATTTCACTTTTGGATATGACATCCGGTAAGGTTTGTTTTACGTAAATCTTAAGCTCGTCTATTGTAGATAGTAAACTGTGCATCGTTTCATAAACATTTTAGTACTTTTGCCTGTGGTTAGTCGGCTATGCCGCCTTTTTGTCATTTGCTTCAGCTGTGGCGACATACGCGCAAGATGAGTCCATAGGAAGAGAGATTATGCGGTTGCTATATATAACCAGTTTTTATTCTCCGCTCCTCTGCTGCACCCTGGGCTGTTGGACTAACTGCTGACCTTTTCACCGCTTCGGCCTGGTTATTACAAATCAGAACAATCATGATTAGGTTAGGGTGCGGTTGGATGGAGGCTTCAGTTTCAGTGTATTTAATTTCAGTTTATTTAGTAAGGATAATAGGCAAAGCCTTTGAAAACCCTATTGATTACATGTCAGGTCGTTAGTAATAACTGTACACGAACAGTGAAAATATTCGCTATTAAAACAGCACTTGATTCATTTGAGTACCATTATTTCAGAGAAAACATTTTCCGGGACCTCGTGGTATTTAGCTCAAGCCAAGACTGTCGAGGAGAAACCGGGGACACAAATAAATATCCAAGCGTTTCTTGAAGGGTTGCAGAGACGTAGCCTCCACGACTGACTGAAGGAGATCGTTCCATTTGTCCACTACCCTCTGCGTGAAAAATTCAGAACGAAGATTCAGCCTGGACATTGTTGTCCGTAACTTCATCGAGTGACCACGAAGATTGGGCGAAATGTGCCACTCAAACATGTCCCTAAAGCTAAGTCCATGCTCAAGGCCATGTATTATCTTGTAGACGAGGATAAGATCATCTCTTTGCAGCCTGTAACACAGAGGGGATAAATTAAGGAAATTCAGTCTGTCTGTGTAGGATTGGATTTTCAGACCGTCTACCAGCTTCGTTGCACGCCGTTCTACTCGTTCAAGGCATGCTTGGTCCTTAACAAGCCATGGCCGCCACGCTCATACGCCATACTCTAGGTGGAGCCGAACTAAGGGGCCGTTAACTTTCCCAAAAAGGTCTTGGTCAAAGGTTACGAACGCCCTTTTGATTGCATGCAGCACTCCCATGGCGTTTTTTGCAGCCTTGTGGAACTGCAGCGTTGGTTTCAGGTTGTTCTGTATTCAAACCCCGAGATCCTTCTGTAAGGATTCTGAGGGTAGCCTTATAACTTTCAGGTGATATGTCCTCAGGCTCTCATTTGAATGAGAGTTGATTGGACGCAGATGAAGGACGGCACACTTCTCCACATTGAAATCTAGAAGCCATTTCTCCGACCACGCTTGCAGTCGGTGCAGATCATCTTGAAGAAATCTCTGGTTATTCGGACCCTTAATGTCTTGCCAGAGCTTAACGTCGTCTGCGAACATTAGTTTGCCGCAGTCGAGTTCCTGAAGGCTGTTATTAACATAAAGAATGAAGAGCAATGGTCCCAGAACTAAGCCTTGAGGCATACCACTGGTCACGTTCACCCATTCTGACATATCATCTCCGGAACAGACATGTTGTTTCCGAGTAACCATAAACGTCCTTATCCAGTTCTGAAAATTTCCTCGAGTGCCGATGGCGCTCAATTTGTGAAGAAGGCGTTGGCTCGGAACAGTATCAAAAGCTTTGCGGAAATCGATATACACGATATCAACCTCGAAACCCTTTTCCAGAGCCCCGGTCCAGATCTCCAGACAAGCTAGTAGATTTGAGAGGCAGGAACCTCCTCTCCAGAAGTCATGTTGAAAAGACTGTCAGATGTTATTTTCTTCACAAAACTGCTGCATAGCGCTCTTTACTAGAGCTTCCATCATTTTGCATGGGAGGCAAGTTAAGTTAATAAACCTGAAGCTGCTTGCTGCCATCCTGCTACTTCCCTTTATGTAAGGGAACAGTAGTACGCTTCCCTAGGGTGAAAACTCCCAGTACTGAAATCTCTTCGTTTGTTTGAAGCAGTGCGTTCAGAAACCTTCGAATAAGTCAAGATCTGTTAGAACACGATGCATAAGAATGTATGTGTTTGCCTTCTGAGGTCCCATTATTGCCAAGCACTGTTATCCGAACGGCCTGTCCTTTTGTGTGATGATGGTGACTTCGGGATTCCTCAGAAACCTTTCATGGTGATGTTCTGGTTGCCATCCACCATGTTCGTGACAATACTGTCCGTATCTTTTATATCAACAGAGAGGATATCTGAGCCAACCGCTACTGTGTCTATTCGATCGCTGATGGTTTCTCAAGACTGCTCAGACAAGCTCCGATATTCGACCTCAGGAAGTTCTTTTCCTTGGGTACAACGAAGCCGTCCGACTTCTGCGTTCCCTCTTCAGCAGTCCATATTTGTTTATTATCTTTTAATATGATCTCATTTGCCTGTGTACGGTCTGAGTAATATTATCACTCGCCTGCTTCCTCCTGGTCCCTTTGCAAGGGACGGCGATCCGCTGCTCTCTGCTTCTCCGGGGCGATCGAAGATCTTGCTTTGTTAATTTTACGGTTTATTTCGAAGATTCCGTCCACATGTTGGTCTTTTCAATTCCGAATCCCTTTTTAAATTTTCTGTGGAGGAGGTCGGACAACTAAGAATCTGGCAGTTTGCTGGCCGCTGTCCTTGAGCTGACTGGTTATCAACTATGACTGCGCGTTGCTGTTCTCACTTCTCTACTTAGTTTGAGATTTCGGAGTATCGTTTACTATTTTAGTCGGTGATGGTGGCGCTGTTGTTGTTTCCCTCTTCTTCTTCTTCTTCTTCTTCTTCTTCTTCGTCCACTTTTTATATTGCTGCAGCCAGTTATTTCCTGAAGCGATAAGTCACGGCAAATAGAGAGTTTTTTTCCTGTTTTAACCGTGCTTCGGCCTTCGATGAGGGGTTGGGCCTTAGTCAACTCTGTCAGTTTCAAAGCGAATCGTTGGCTGCTACCGATTTTATCAATTGACTTTATTTTATCACGCTTAAGCGACAATGAAACCAGGTCTATGAGGAGGTTCATATTCGTCTCCAAAGCTGTAATATTTAATGCGAGATCCTTGCAATATTTACACGATGCACAGCAGTTCGGAGCTTGTGTATCTGGTAGAAAATCGTACGCGAATTCACCGGGATATTTTGTGTCGCGGGGCACCTCGGCCTCACTGTGAACCGTTTCTGACGTTTTGCATTTGTCATCTCCTGCTTGCTCGAAACGAATTATCACCGGTTCACATGAATTTCCTAATGCGCTATTTTCCCGGCCAAATTCGGCGCACCCTTAAAACATGAGGCTAATGCACTTACTATTCTTTGAGGGCGCTCTTCGATGGCGGCGCCCCAGGCGTTTAGGCGCTCTCCGTGCGATATGGGGGCTAAGGAGTCGACTCCCGCTCCGTGGACAATTTTTTCGTCTCGCGGGATGGTTGGTTAGTATACTTTTACATTTCCCAGATCTCTGTGCTTCAGAGTCCAGAAAATAGTGTTCTCCAAAAGTTTGATAACCTCAGGCAGATACAATCAAAACAAGATCAGATGTTTGATAAACTTCAGACAACAGAAATTTAAGCTGACCCTGATAGCACCAGCCCCTCCTAGCCCCATCAAAAATGGCGGGGCTAGAGGGGGCTATAAAGGGGCTAGGCGGGGCTGTGGAAGGGGCTTTGGCGGGGCATTCAACACGACAGTCCCGCCTGGCCCCACCAGTGAAATGAAATTCACAGGCACGCGGGAACAACAGAGGATCAAGTGTACTAGCGCAAAATGGTCATTTGGTGAGGGGACCACCTAGTCTTTGGGCTTGGTCAACTTATAATCAACCCTGCCAGCACCAGCCCCGCGTAAGCTTCTCAAATATGGCGGGGCTAGAGGGGGCTATGAAGGGACTTGGTGGGGCTGTAGAAGGGCCTGTGGCGGGGAATTCAACGCGACAGCCCCGTCTGGCCCCGCCAGCGAAAAAAAATGCGCAGGGGACGCCAGATTTCCACCCACTCTTGACACTCCCTTAAAATATCGACCTGCATGATGAGCCCCCCGAGGTGCACACACATAATACTTGCCGGCATAAGTTTCGGAGCTCATAATAGGCATTTCTCGTTCAGGGGATTGATTGCCAACTGCTTTGGACGTTGAGAGAACCTCAGAATCAGGCTCTTCAGTGGCCTCATAATATGCCTTTTATATGGCGCATAATGCGCTTGGATATGGTGGTTCGATGGGAGCCACAGTAATTACGCTTCATTATTGCTTTGAATTTTCAGTAAAAAACGAAAAAATATGTATAATTGGACTATGAACATCAATGCTAACTAGTTAATAAATAGACATACAAGTTGACTACTTGAACTGTTTTGTGAGTATATGATACATAAATTAACTAAGACATTTATTAAGAGCATCAAAACAGCATTGGTTGACGCACAATATTATCCGCGACCCGTGGGCGTAAACGAATGCTTTTTTCATGATTTATAAGCCAATTTTTTATAAATTAGCTCCTTTTTATGCCAAGAAGGATACAATGAGTCATGCTTTTGAAACATAACTTTCGATACAAATACGCTTCAAAATGTTTCAATCCAATGAGGGCTCTGGCCCCAACCAGCCCCTTCCCAGCCCCGCCTATGAAGGGGCCATGTGCTGGCAGGGGATAATACGAGACTTTAGACGACGGAAAATTTACTCCGCCAGCACTAGCCGCGGCTAGCAACCTCTCTGTCCCAATAAATTAGGGGACTATAGCAGCGAAATTACGAGGCTGCGAGAGATATATCGCGGAGCTATGATGGGCAATTCATCCGTGTGATATCCTCTGGCCCCATCGCCGAAAAAAATGCACATTTTACCGTCTATGTCCAGCTTTCCTATATGATACCGATTTCCCCACCACTCGTCGGCGTATCAGACCTTAATGTGGCACCTCGAAGCCCCAAAATGCCGCATCCCCGTATGTGTGTCCTAAGGTGCAATTACGAGTTTAGCGGAACATTTTAATGGTTTCAGACACATAAGTACTCAAAAGGACAAAGATAAAAATATCTACAGTCATCAATATTGGTCATCATGCATTGACACAGTACATGCTACGCATAGTTGCGTTTTCAGCGGCCTGTTCCTGGAGTACAAGAAAGCCGTTGCCTAGATATTTGTACTGCTGCTACAATCGTTGAATGGAATGGTAAGAAAATGATTGAAATGACGGATAGAAAATTATACCGCTGAATTATACGTTTGGTCAATGGATTTCAATGCGCAATGCAATATTAAGTAAAGCAGAGTGAATATAGAAAGACTTTGACGATAATACGAAGGGCGTAATTACAGTGCCATCGGACGGAGACATCGCTAAGTAAGCCACGACTGTGATGGTGCACATGGAGGAACTTAATGTAGGTTAGAAAGTCTTAAGGTAATTATTTTACCTTCTCCGTAGTCTCTTGACGTTTGGCTCTACCACCATATCTGAATCTCGCCCCATGGCACCAGTTACTTACACAAATTGCGGATCACGTCTGCAGTACAAACGGAGGAGGTGGCGTTTCCACGAGTTGCAGATGAGGAATTAACTTAAATATTTGACATACCAGTGGGGAGGCCGTAAAGGGACATTCAAAAAAGGTTCCTTCTTCTCTCGACCCACCCCAGCAGAAGTTGAGACATGGCGGGGGACCGAGAAGAGCACTCAAGAGATTCCTGAAAAACCTTTTCTCGCTTCGGCCACCAATGACAACCAGGAGCTTCATCTGTAAACCGCCCAAAATACATGGGTGCAAATATTTACATTCTGCCTCCTGAGCAAAACCTGAATCTAAATTAAGCCGACTAAAAAGTCGTCGGAGGCTTCGCCGGTACACAGCGACAGATTGGATTCCGACCGAGAAGGAAGAAGTTGAGTTCCTTGGCATGGTTGGTGTAGATGTTCCAAGTCTCCTCTCCGTAAAGAAGTGTCGTCGGGATGACGTCGTTGTACATCTTTAGTTTGGTATTCTGTTGGAGGCCGTGGCGGTTCCGCACGGAGTTCTGCAGCCGGCCGAAGGTTCGGCTGACTTAGGAGATCCGGAGTGAAACCTCATCGCCAATTTTAGTGCTGTTGGAAGGCGTGCTTTCGAGATAAGCAAAATCGTCCACGGTTTTGAGTTGGTGGTCGTGGACAGCGATTCTAGTGGACATGCACTCATGCGTGTTGGGTGACGATTTGTGCATGACGGCCGGTTTGTCCATGGTGATAGTCAGGCCGAAGTTGGCGAATCCGCCGTCAAGGAGGATCGTGCTCCATGGCATGTCCACTTAGGTCGTGGTGTTGAGCTCGCAATCGTCGACATAGGGCAGATCGTGAACCGTGTTCGTAGATAGCCGCGTTTTGGCCTGCATGCGCCTGCTGCTGAGAAGATGATCCTCAGTTCTGTAGGCTATACGCATTTCGGAGCGTTCATCACGGTAGACGTCCATCAGCACAGCAGGGAATATGACACTGAAGAGTGTAGGCGAGAGGACGCAGTCCTTCTTAGCTCCATTTGTCATTTTGAATGTCGCGGAGATTGTGCCGTTGTTCGCGACGCGTCCCATCATTCCGTCGTAAAGCTAACGTATCATGTGCCTGAATCATCCAGGGCAGTCAAATTTCTGCATGATTTTCCACAGTCCCTCGCGACTCACCGTCCCAAAGGCCTTTATCAAGTCCACTGTGGTAGGTCAGTATGTCAGTCTAGGTCTGTATATTTCAAGGTTAGTAAGGCAATACCTCTGAAAACCCTATTGTAAACTTAAACTAAACACCGTACTAAAATGTTGTCAGTAATATATACACTTAACATAATATCTTTCATTGAAACTCGAGAACATTCAGTTGCGGATGATATCGGTAAAATAAAACGACAGTCATCCGCATTAGCAGTAGGTGTATGCAAGGCGTTGGTTTGGCACCACAGAGCTGTTCTGTCCAGACAAGCGGTATTGTCCAAACAAATATGCGTCCAGTCTCTGCTTGAACGTCTCCGTGTTATCCGCCATTATTGCGTCCTCGGGAAGCCCGCTCCAGGCACAGACGACTCGCTGTGAAAAACAGTATCTGCGAACGTCCAGGCGGCATCGGGATCCTCTAGTTTTTAGAGAGTGCAGAGGTGGGTTTGCATCTCTTGGTAATTCTACTGTAAATGTCGAGAGGCAAACACCATGTCAATAGTGTCCCGATGTCGTTGGAAAATATATTGGCTTTCCAGCCGGAGTCCTTGGTCGAGGTGTCTGTTGAGGCTATTAAGGAGTATGCGGGCGATAGCCTTCCACGCGATATTGAGTAACGAAATGCTTCTGTGGTTGTCACAGACTTGCCGGTTGCCTTTGCGCTGGTAGAGGTGAACAATAGTTACACCCTTGAAGTCGTGAGGAACTTGTCCACAGTACCACATCTCTTGAAATAACGTCATGAGTTTGTTCATTAGGCAGTGGCAATCGTACCTGCAGATTTCGGCCGGGATTGCATCGGATTCTCGTGCTTTGTCGCCGTAGCGTAACTACACGGCGCGAGAAGGGGGAGGTCTAGGTGGACGCTGATTTCTATATTCCGAGCCGGTCGATGGAGGCGTCGGGAATTTCGGAGCGCGGCTGAGGACGTTCCTACAGTGTTCGGCCCAGCGCTTCAGAAACCGCAACGTATCCATCAAAAGCGTTGGTCAATCGGAGCTGAGAAGCGGTGTAGTTACCTTCATCGGGGGACCGTAGATCACCTTGATCGCAGCGAAGAAATCCTTTGATTCTTTGAAGTCGGTGCATCCCTTGATCTCCTCGGCCCTCAAGGAGCCCTGCATTTCGTGCAACCGTTGATGCGCTGGGCGGCGGCATTGGTAGAAGGCCGCTTTGTTCGCATCGGCTGGGTGATCGAGATAGAGTCTGTGAAGCCTGTTCTCCTTGGCCAGCAGGTTGCCAATGACGACGTCGTCGTCGTCAACCAGTCCTGGTGCTGGCGACGTGCACGGCCGAGGACAACCAGGGCGGTAGATTGGACGCGTCCCGTACGTACTACAACAGGACCGCGTTAGTCCGGATGAGAACCCACGACTGGCATGGCATACTATCAGTAGAAAGGTATAACTAACTAAACTAAGAAAATATGCTCTCAGGATACATTGGCGAACGAACTCGCCTCTGTACAAAGCACTCCGCGAAAAAACTGGTTTTTCTGATATGCTGACCATGGAAGAACGTTCCTCCGAAACGGACATCTTGACAGTTGAGAAGAAAGAACCATTTTCCCACTGCCACTTTGTAGAAACTTGGATAGCAATTTTCTACAACGTAGATTTATCTCTGCTACTGCGTGCACGTACCCGGTTACCAATATAAGACTAATTTTCCCAAACACTTGAAGATATGGATAGGCTCACACTCCAAGCTTCTACATTTTGCATCTGCGCCTTCACTTGCTACTGCAGGTCAAATTAATTGGTCAAAGAACTAGGCGCCGAGAGCGTTATCCAGTCTGTCTAGAGAAAACGTGGCAACCTCCATCTCTAGTGCGTATGCGATACACTTCTTTGACAGCAACCATCGAGTAGACGTCAATCAAGCATTTTGAGTCTTTTTTAGAGTGCTGCCGAGACATCCCAGATTCCTACGCCAGCAGATCCTTGCGACGACAAAGTCCGCGGCCATACGGTTAACCAACCCAACGTTGCGCGCGCAGAAGACGTTTGTATAAGCCCTTAATTGACCCTGACCCAAACAGGGCCTTACATATTCTTTCCGGTATCCTGCAACTTCACGTTAATGTGACAAAAATAAGCATAGCTCATTGGTTGATTTGTCACACTCCCCTCCCTCCCCATGTCCCTGATAAGTCCAGACTCACCCGATACCGAGCAAGGCTAATACCTCGTTCATTGGCTGATTTTCAACTTTCGCTCCTTGACTGCAAATTAATCAGATCGACGATTAAGTGAAAATAGGTATTGACGGCCTCAATCCGACTGCCTAGAAAGTGTCTGCTCATCAAGAATGTGGTTGTAGATAAAATATGGCAGACAGGGATGTGAGCAGTGAGAATTTTGGTTGGGCACGGAAACGCGGACACCCAGTATTACAGGTGGCCTTGCCCTAGATTCTAGACGGGTTGTATTTACAGTTAGGATTAGGAGAGTTGGCAAGATGTGGTTATGTAGCTCCAACTCATGGACGAAATTCTTTTTGGGCTGGGGTTAGGGCTAGAGGTTAGGGGTTATGGACCGTAATCCTGACTATCCCCATCACGAAATAATTCGACTGTCGTTGCCGACGATGTCCACCGTATGCTTTACAGCAGGCTGAAAGCAGGGACGGCGATTCGTGTGTCATAATAACAGCCGAATTACGCTGAACCTCCTGCACTCTCGCCTCCTCTACCTCTTGGATCTGGTGTAAAGACAGAGTCAAGACGACCGGAGGCGGAAGAGGGCGCAGGTGGCTGACACGGCCGAATCCGCACCTGGTGCACTACTTGACCAGAATTTCAACCAAGGAAAACGATGGGAGTGGCTCAGGAGTATTAGGAAGGAAAGAGTGTGGTAGGTGCTGCGCAAGTCCACCATCACTATAAACTAGTCCACGCGCAAGCTAGCGTTCCTCTTCCCTGCCTGATGCGGGGCATATGGTGAATATCGTCGGTAACGACGGTCAAACTGTGATCAGTGTACCAAAATATCAAACTAGTGTACCCTCCCCTCTCTTCCCCTCGAGACTCGGTTCCACCATCAGTAAGACAGAAGGATGTAGCCCATTTTTTGTGAAACCAGCTCCACATCAGAACACGTGTAGCCCGTTTAGTATGTGCTTTTTTGAGCATTATCCATGTAAACGCAAGCAAGTCGTTGACTAAAATTGGATCAGAATATGTTTATCCTCCATCAAGTTGAGATCGTAAGGTTTACATATCCTGGCGTAGGCTATAACTCTTTACAACCGCTGTCTGTCTCACAGAAAAGTCGCGTGCCTTTGACAGACATCAGCCAACTTACGCCACAGGGTGAACATCGCCGCAGCTCTCCACAAAACGGCGTTGTGATTGGTGAATTCCTAAAAACTGTCACTCATCGCACACATCCTGTGGAGAAACTTCCCAGGGATTACTTTGGTGGCATAGTGTTGTGAACCGCGTCACGATCACAATTGGAATCTGTCAACGCACATCCCCGTACATCTCCAGCGAGTAACCTGACTACAGATGAGTGACATAATGCCCCAAACCACGAGGAAATGCTGCGTAGAATTTGTGGATGTGACTTTTGTAGCAGCCGCTCCAATCTCCCTTCTCTCTAGCTCCGTTTTGTCGGTCGAGGGTCGCGACAATCGTTGACAGGCCGCTGATACACGACCACCCCCGCCGGCTACAACTGCGGCCCCTCCTGTCCAGCGGCAGTACCTCCCGGCTGCCCTCACAAACTATTATCACCTCACGTGTGTCGGACGACCTGGCTTGATACCCGTGAGCCCCCTGTGATTGTGCGTCCCCCTAATCCGTCCGATCTCATGACCGGCACTCAGCCAGTCACTCCCACATTCTGACACAGATTTTCAATCCCCGCGTAAACTACACACCGCGACTGACGCTCTGCGTGAACGGACGCTTATCTCTGTTGCAAACAAACAGCCAACTTACGGCAACCTGTCCTGTGTACAGAATAAAGCATTCCTCACAGCTCCCTAACTGTTCACATTAGACGAAACGAACTTATTGTGCGTGGTTTAAGTTGATCTCACATCCTTGACCGCCGCACTTTTAGCAAGATAAATTATCAGGGTTCTGACTGAGTACTTTACAAAGTGACCTTCGATTGAGTATACTTTTAGGTCTTTTTATTTTAATCTGCTTGGGTCTTGACTGTCCGACCTGCGCAGTGGACTGGTGCCTGGGAAGAGGGAAGAAAGGATTAGTTGGACTCTCTCGGAGCATACTCCTCATTATAAGCAATCTGACGCGCTTGCATCTATAACGGTGAGTTAAAAGCCGTAGCTTGGATGGATGCTAACTTAAAGGAATGTCAGGCCCTAATGACTCCTTCTTAGCGTGGTCCTATTCTTATGCGAAATCCCGGTGATTTGTGCGTGGACCAGGGAGTGCGGTGGCACACCCAGTGGCCGCGACAGCCACCTGCACCCATTTCCGCCTCAGGTCCTCCTGACTTTGTTTTGAAGCTGGGCCCAAAACATTAAAGAGGAGAAAGTGCGGTAGATGCGGTGAAAGTCCACTATCGCTGTAAACTAAGTCGCGCGCAATTCACCGCCCTTGCCTCCACCCCGCTGTTGGGCACACGGTGGACATCGTCGGATGCAAGGACGATCACACGGTCTTGGTGTGTCCATTTTTTTCGAGCGGTGTAAATCCTTATAAAACAGCTTCCATTAAAACCGGCTCGTAGCTGCCCTCTCCCCTGAAATAATCCTCCAGACCTCCGCTTATAATACGGATGGATTTAGGTCGCTTCATTTACCAACAGTCGTATCATTTCTGATACCTCAGGGTTACCTACCTAACCTTTCCTTGTCTCTTCACGCCAAATAACGCTTAGATAGGGATAGAAAAAATGCATTAGATTTAATACTCAACACCGTATTCTGCCACCCAACCGTAGAACTAGCACTCTATCACTCTATGCCCTTCCGTGCCCGGTTAAAAAAAGATGATATCTGTCGTAGAGGGGCGCTCACCGATCGTTCATACGGAACTCACTCGTCCCGTTGTGCCGTGGGACTCTAACTCGAGCCCAACCAGCAGTCGCACAGCGGCGCATGATATAGGCAGAATGGTATTGCCGACAAAGGCAACAGAGACTGGAATGGCCATTTCTGGCTTATTAGCTGTCGTCAGCCAGTTATACCCAACCCCCAAGTGTGGAACACCGAATGATTACAGTCATTTTCAGAGCATGAGTGCGGGTGGGAAATACCTGACTTATGACAGCCAGTCAACTTGAACTTGGCTTTTAAGCACCTTTTTCTTTTAGGACATTTCAGGATAGCACCGGACAAAAAATCAATATTCAGGTGTGCCAAGCTCCGTTTAGTAAAACTCTCCTCTCAAAGAATAACACGCTCAGATGCGCAATCAAATTCTAGGACAGGTAATAGCATAGGAAATTGCACAAATATATCATAACATCCATTTTCTCTCGAATTTATGGACATTTTGCTTGATGGGATTTCGTGGACACACTTTCTGCACAAGGACATTTTCTTGGAAAGGCTAGACGAGCAAGTAAAATGCGCAACGTTTAAGGCGTCTGAAAATTCTCATACCAGTTTCTATCATCAGTTTTCATGAGATGGGTCGAGATAGGGCTCTAGAGAGAGCCCACCACCAACGAGTGAATTTCGTAAAAACGATCGATGAGTCCCCCTCTACCTTTGTACATTCCCGATCACAACCGACATGCCAACTAGCTCCTGGCTCAGTGGTTAGAGGCGCTGCACTTCTGACCAGCAGGTCGCGGGATCAAACTCCAGGTGTTCCACACTTCGGGGTTGGGCACGGCTGACTGACGAGGACTAATGAGCCCGAAATGTCCATTCCAGTCTCCCTTATCTTTGTCGGTAATGCCATTCTGGTTATATCTGTATAACGCAGAAGATAGGCCTCACTCTCTCTCTCTCTCTCCCACGCACCAGCGGGCTCTCCGAGCATTCCCCTCCACATGTGACCCACGCGAAGAGTACAGTAAGGACGCGCGGAGACTTGTCACAGCTCTTTATGGTCCAGCGCAGCAAGCTCCATCCTGCTGAGTCGGTCCAATCCCGCCTCTGACATACGGAATGCATCTGAGCTTATAACAAAACGAAT